CTGCTGCAGTTGGATTGACAAAATCTTCTTACCCTACCACCCTTAAAGGAAACAAAATAAAAAACTGTGTGCCACCCTGGCTTATAGCACATGCATACATTTGTCTGTTCACCAGAATGCCTGAGCAGTTAGTAAAAGAAACAGATGGAAAGCTAGCAAGCCTATTTTCTTAGCTGCATCCAGCAACTTGAATTGGAGAAGTGGGCATTCTTTCAATAGCCGTAACACGTTTTCCCACTGGTGAGAGCGGGATGAAATATTTTTTTGCAGACCATACAAATAGGCTTGTGGGGAAGCAGATGGGGAGAATTGTGGCTGCCTTGAATTTGGGGGTGTGGGTTGAGGCAAGAGTGCACCCCTGGGAAAACAGGCCACTCATCAACTCCACTATGTTGTGAAAAAGGAAACAGCCTTGCTTCGCTTGTAGATGAGTTATAGTTGAGCCATATCGAAAATGATCTCTCTCCCTCTCTCTCTCTCATCAATCAATCTAGCCAGTTATCATTTTTTTTCTTTCATCTATCAATCTTTCTATCTTTCTATCTTTCTATCTTTCTATCTACCTACCTACCTACCTACCTACCTACCTACCTATCTATCTATCTATCTATCTATCTATCTATCTATCTATCTATCTATCTATCTATCTATCTATCTATCACCTGTCATCTCTATCTCATACCATAAGAGTATCCAGGTCCAGAGTTGCTTCTAAAGCAATAGAAAGCTCTTTTGTGGCAGAGTCCATAAAGATGTCCTTCAAAGAATGGATAAGAAAACTCAAGACTTGGTGATTATAATTTAGTACAAGGAAACTAAACAGTACATGTTAGCAGTGCTAATAATATATTGTTATTGTGGTGTTTTAAAACAAATATTTCCACCTGGCAAAAAAACTTAAAACCTGCATTACTTGGGGCTATTCTGCCTGGCCTCCCTCGGGCCTCACTATTTTCTGTTTCTCCACAAACAAGTGGAACTCTGAAACTGAGAAGATTTCTTCCTAGGAGAGCGGTGGGGTCTGGAATGTGAGCACACAGTGCAGCCTTTTCTAAAGCTGTTGCCTTTAGATGTATTGGGGGTACAGTGATCACAATTTCTCACCTACTGCACAATTGCTGACCTATTGCCTATTCTTATTGATTTCCTCCAAGAAGCTATGGTAAATCATCCATGCATTCTCCTGGATCATCTGTAGCTCCCCATTCAAATTAATCTATTTATGATGGCTGAAGTGAAAAGAGCCATGACACAGACTATAGACAAAGTGTGTGTCTTCAGTCACAACTTCTTGTCCCATATATGTTGTCCAGGGAAATCCAGATTATGGGTAAATTTCTACAGGGATTATTTACATTGCAATTGGAAGGCATTATTTTCTCTATTAGCTAGAAGAGATATCAGAAACAACACTGCATTTTACTAGAGAGCGATCTTTTCAAAGTTCCCATGTACTATTTTTGTTTATTATATAAAATAGAAAATAATTATTTTGATAATGTTGAAGTATTGTTTTCAGAGTAAGAGGTGGTACAATTTTTAGGGGAAATTTGTATATGATGGCTGTTTATAGTATGTTGTTGTTTTTTGTTTTGTATGACTTTTTAAGTTGCTTAGATTTGGCTCAACTGAAGCAGAATAGAAATCACAGGCCAGAAAATAGCAATACTGTATATTTAGCGCCCTTACTCTGAGTAATTCAAGATGAGAAAGTTTAAGAGGAATTTTCTCTCCCTATTTTGTCTTCACAAAATCCTGGGATGATAAATTCCTGCACTCTGATAGAAATCCTCCCCGAATCAAATTTCAGTCATCTCAACGGAGCAATTTACCAGATAATTGCAAAGTAAATTAAGCTGTAAGCCTAGGGAAGGTGGAAGAAGATATATCATCTAATTAGCCACTTGACTCTGTTTCCAACTGTAGAGTTTTGGTTCTAACTGGTACAAACAAGAACCCTTATTGGATTCAGCACTGCTGTTTGTCACAGTGGCCCCTAGAAGGAAGAGTTTCAGCCAAGCACTTGTACTTCAAGAGGAATTTCTATCCATGTTTGCAAGCAAGAAGATTTGAAAGAACCCATACTACTAGCTCAGCAACCAAAACTAGCTGAGGAAGGGCAAATGAAAATGTTTTCAAGGTTGGGAAATCAGGGAACAAGGAAGCTGTCCCAAGTGGGGAGCTGATAAAGTATTGACCAATTGACACATCATTTGAAGCCNTTGTTTAAAAGTATTTACTGAATCACAGTTGGCTGGGTTCTCAAAACATCTTAAAACTCCTAAATCATGGTTGTCAAAGCTCAACCAAGCAGATTCAGATAAAGCATGTGATAGCTAAGTACATGCAGCCTATTTTCCTATCTTAGAATTGTCTGTCACTGGCTGCTTCTGTGTTGTTTGCTATCTGACAAACACTAACGCAAAGTAGAAGACTTTGTAGGCCAGGGGTGTCAAACTGCTGGCCTGCTGGCCAGATGCATCATGGCGAAACTGCGCCCACCCCATTGCCAGAAATGGAAAAAAAGTCGCGATACATCATGACATGTCACATGACCTTGCGAGTTTGACACCCCTGTTGTAGGCAATAAACACAGTCAATGAATCGGGTAAGGAAAGATTAATGGAGTGGCAATGTAGCTACTTGAAAGGAAGTGTTTATAAACTATGAAATATTGTGTATCTGCCCATGACAAAAATGCAAGGTGTTTTGAGCATCCTTGAACCCAAAGCTCTTCCTTTCTTGGGAAGGGTTGAAGTATAGCTGACTATTATAGTTACACTGAAGGTTGGAAAGAAAATTAATTATAACTAGAATTGGGTGGTAGTTTTTGAACAAAGCCTGTGTCTGCTTTTGCAGCCAATGCAGAATTACTGTATAACAATTAATTGCATTTCTTTAATAAATTTATATAGTTACCCACCTCACATTTGTGATTCAATTAAAACTGATAGTTAGGGCCCTTGTGAAGGGATCTTTGTTATGAAAGGAAAATGTAAACAACATGCAAATGTGATAACTTGTTAACTCTCCTGGAAGGGTAGCTCTATCAGTAGTAAGTTGTAGCAAGGTGCCTGATGGGAAACAGAGGGTATAAACCTGCCCTATTTAGACTCCATTCTCCTTTGAGTTCCAGGGGATCTGGTTGTAGCTGTTTCCCAAGTGAAAGTGACCCAGTCAGGCAGGTAATTAAATTCCCACAATCTGTTTTTGAAGAGAAGGTGCCTCATCCTTTCACCTGGAATCTGAATGGAATGGAACAGGAAATTTCTTCTCTAGGCTAAGCCTTTAAATAAATAACCCCAGTTTCACCTTTTAACCAGGCTTATCAGGGCAAGTGCTTTTGAAATAAATAGTGCTAGAACAAAGAAAGTAGTGGGAGAATAAGTTAGCTATACCAAGTTATAGGAGGCCTGGATCATCCTACAAAAGCTTGCATTTGTTACTTTGCTGCAGGCACATAGGCAAAGAGATAGAGAGACAGAAATTGTGAGCAAAGATAAAAGGACACAACTGAGCAAAGCAGTATTGAAATAAAACATTGCCAATACTTCTGTCTATACTTTCTGGATCTTGACAGTTTCACTGGTTCAGTTCTCCCACTGATTTTGAGCATATCAGAGCCCTGAATCCAGTAAAAAACCTCGCCTATAGCCCTTGTTCTCATGACTTGAAGCCCATTCAGACTGGGGGAGAAGAAATCCTGCCCCATTTCTCACTGGAAGAGGCTTTATAACTTCTGAAACCACTGAACATTGGAGCACTGGGGAACTACCAGATGACTGGAAAAGAGCTGATGTAGTTCCCATCTTCAAAAAAGGGAAAAAAAATGGATCCAGGAAACTACAGACCTATCAGCCTGACCTCAATACTTGGGAAGATTCTGGAAAAGATAATAAAGCAACGAATCAGCAAACACCTAGAGACATACAAAGTCATAACCAAAAGCCAACATGGGTTTGTCAAAAACAAATCTTATTGCATTCTTTGACCAGGTGACAAAATTAGTAGACTGTGGATTTAATTTACTTGCACTTTGGTAAGGCATTTGATAAAGTAGACCACAACCTCCTACTTGATAAAATAGAAAATGTGGGTTAGATAGCATCACCACCAGATGGATTTGTAATTGGCTGACAAACTGCACTCAATGTGTAGCCCTCAATGGAACTGCATCTAAATGAAGGAAAATATGCAGAGAGGTATCCCAAGGCTTTGTCTTAGGCCCAGTATTCTTCAATATCTTCATCAATGATTTAGACAAGGGGATAGAGGGGAATTCATCAGATTTGCAGACAAACATCAGGTTGAGAGGAGGGTTGGATTAGAAGACCTCCAAGGTCCCTTCCAAGTCTGTTATTCTGTTATTCTTTCCCAAAGACACCATTTTAATCAGAAACACAGAAAACTGTCTCGTCTTGTACATTTCAAGCCACATTCTGTCAGTACTATAAGTATGGCATTGGGGTTGATATAAACCTAAATCAGAAAGACAAAATTTTCACTCCATTCAAAAGAGTGACATTGAGGTAGACACGTTCAGTGTTTGATTATAAGGATAAAGCAGGATGGCGGAAATCTTGTACACTACAGTACTCTTGGAGGACAAATGGAGATAAACGAATTTTTAAAAAATTAATGGCATTCTTCTAAATCTGTTTAAGACTTGTAAAGGCAACATGTCTGGATTTCTATAACTTGTTTAACCACAAGCTACCCAGTGTATTTTAGCATAGTCTAGCATAGGAGTCACCAACCCCCAGTCCATGGACTAGCACCGGTCTGCAGCATGCCAGAAAGCGGGCCACACAAACAAGAAAAACTCCATCCTTGGGATGCAGGCAGTATTCAAAACTATACCCCCTCTGGTCCGTGGAAAAACCTTTCTCCATGGCACTGGTCCCTGGTGCCCAAAAAGTTGGGACCTCTGGTCTAGCACACTGTGAAAATCTAGCCATGTTAATTTATTACTGTTAAACTATTTTTATATTTTCTTGTAGGTCTTTGGTGGCCTGGTCTGGATCCTTGTGGCTTCTACCAAAGTTGTTGATCACTTGAGTCAAGGCTGGGTGATGTTTGTCTCGGTGTTTTGCTTTGTAATTTCTACACTTCTTTTCCTCTTATATTTATGTGGAGCTCACGGTGGAAAAAGTGCTTGGGTTGCTTTGGTAAGTCATTTCAAAGAGACTAATACTGCATATGTTAACTCTTACCTCTTTCCAGATTACCAGATCTTACAACAATGCATCATATTCTTCTTCACTCCTGAGTTTAACTCACATGATGCAGATAAATTGGTGAGCTATGCAAAAGGAAGATGCATCCTCAAAGTATTGAAACAAATGGCTTCAAATGTTGTCTGTGTAGTCATTTTTGTTTCCTTATCACAACTTATTATAATCAGAGTGTTCTAGAAATCCTAACATTGAAGCTCATGGATGTGTCCAGCTCATTCACCCTTCTAAGTTCCATTCCCTTCATCAGTTTTCATTCATGTATCATATGCAACATTTATACCACCAAGCGATAAATTACCATACTTACTATTATTTATTTAACAATTTTTCAGTCCCAAATTATACACCTAAGAAAAACTTAGATTTATAACCCTGAATTTTCTTCCTAGTTAAGAATAATGAAAATAACAGGCAATATAAAGCAATTTTTCCTTAGGTGCATATTTAAGAAATGATAACCAGTAATCTTTTTCGTTATTAAGATGTTAGCAATTGTGGTTCTTGGCTAGAGAGAACATTGAGTAAAGAACTATATTAATGAACTAAATCAAACTAGCCCTTTTTCTTCTCTCTGCTTACAATACTTATCAGAACAATGTGATGGCCTCTGAACAATTTTCAGTAAGTCCAAATCTGGACATCATTACAATTTATTCCCTGTTTGGAAGTGAGATGTTGGGACACACTGTTTTCATTGATCTCTGGAATATTATCTTCAGATTCTAGTCTTCCACAATGCCTCCATACCTCAGAATTAATGGTTGAACTACTGATCACTGGGACTCTTATGTCCTCCTAGTCATTCTATGCCCATGTTTGATCCAATGATTTGGGATGGAAAAGGTCTTCCTGCTCATTCTGGAATGACTTCATTCATTAGTTATGTCTGCAAATGGATCAATCATTCTAGCATGACATTTTGATTAAGCTGATCATTAGTCATGATCCACTTTTATTCTTGCCCTTCAGTTTTTCTGAAACCTTCCAAAAATTTTGTGTCCAAACCAAAACTCAGGAACTCTAATCAATGCAGATTCTACTGTTTGTGATTTAGAAACTGTATTTCTATTGATGTAGACCAGATTTTCATTTGTTTGCAGCCACACCATACTACTGATTTGCATAATTTGTTATCAACTACTATTTCAATACATTCACAAATATCACTGTGAAGAAATTGATTTTGGAATAGAATAGAGTTGGAAGGGACCCTGGAGGTCTTCTAGTCCAGCTCCCTGCTCAAGTAGGAGAACCTATACCATCTCAGATAAGTGACTATCTAGTCTCTTCTTAAAAACCTCAAGTGATGGAGCACCCATGATTTCTGAAGGCAAGCTATTCCACTAGTTAATGTTGAAGTGCATGACTTTGCATTGGTCTTATTTAACTTTCATAATATTTCTTTCAACTATTTCTGTAATTTATCAAGGGTGATTTTGATTTTTGTTGTATTGGTTGTCCCACAAAATTCAGTGTTATTTGAAAAATTGGTATGCATTCTGTCTGTCAAATACTGTTATGGCCCAGGTGGTCAAGGCAATGCAGGTCTCTAAAGAGTTCTTTATTTCTTTTAAACAATGTTCCAGCCAATGGCCCTCCAACAACTGGTAAGGCTCCACCCTCACGCTACCCTGAAGGCAGCCACCTTCAGTCCCCCAAACAACAGTCCCTCTAGTACCAAGAAAGCCCCCAGAGTAGGAGCACACTCACTGGACAAGGTCCAGGGTTCCAAGTCCAATCCACCAGGCAAGGTCAAGGCACAAGACAGAAAAGAAGCATTGCCAAATCCCCAGTGAAGCAAAGGCCCAACGTAGGCCACCAGAGAAGGGTGAGCTCCTAGGCAAAATACAAAGGGCAACCTTCCAGGCGAGGCAAGGCAAATAGCAACAGGAACAAGTAAAAGCCAGGTGAGTGTAAACCAAAGCAAACAATTGTTCCTGGCAGAGACTAACTCCCCACGGTTTCTCCTTAAGTTACTCCCCTCCAGGTGTTCCTTGTGAGGAGGGATGGGGCAACCTCCTCCCGAGTAGCCTTGCAGCCCTTCTCTGGGCTTGCCTATGCTCCACTCTCCTTGCCCTTGGATCAGTGGAGCAGGCAGCTGTTCCTCATCAGAGGAGATTGGCTCCCTATCAGCACCACTGCTGGTTAGTACCGATCTTCCCCTGTACAGGTAGCTCTCCATCTGGTCGACCACCTCCCCAATGCCTGCGGGACCCGGGACAGCATTGTCCTCAGCCCCTGGTGTGCCTTCCCTGTCGGACAGTCCCAGCTCCAACTCTTCCTCCTTCTCCTCCTCCGAACCAGCCTCTGAGGGGGCCATGACAAATACTGAAGAGTGAACTTCATGGCACTGCACTTGGTACCTTTTTGCAATATAATTTAGAATAATTGATGGAGACCTTTTAAATAAGATGTTTGAATCATCTACGTATTCATGTAATTGTTAGGCCATATTGCCCTTATTGTATGCCCAATCAAGTAATATAATGTCTATGAAACCCAGTTTGGTATAGTGGTTAAGGCATCAGGCTAGGAACTGGGCCAGAAATTCTACTCCTGCCTATGGCACAAATCCACTGGCTTGACTTTGGGCCAGTCACTCTCTATTAGGCCCAGAAAGGAGACAATAGCAAATGATTTCCAAAAAACCTTGCCAAGAAACTAGTTCAAATATGTCACTATCTATTAAGGAATCTACCTGATTGAAAAACATAGTGTAGCAAGACTTGTTTTTTTTATCAAATCTATGCTACATTCTGTTGCAGATCAATCACTTTATGCCTTTTCCTAGAGTCTCCCCAGACATCGTATTAGAATGATAATAGTCAAAGAATCCTCCTTTTTTCCAAATTTTGAATATGAGGACGATATTTTCCTTTTCCATACACCTGATATTTCACCAGTTCTCCAGGATTTCTCAAAGTGAATAAATGAAGCATTGATTGGATCATTACTTAATTTCTTTGAGGTGCTAGGTTGCAATTCCTCAACTATGGGGATATTCCATGGCTATTTTTTTTCAGTTTCATTATTCAATTCTTCAACTTTGTCTTGCTCTGCACAATTTTCTGCTGAAATACATGCAATATTTGTTTTTGTTCAGAAAAAATAAAACATCATCTGCTAGTATTTAGTTGTCTTCAGTGAATATATATTATGCACATTATTTTCTTTTCTTTTGTATTTTATTCTAACCCTAACTATTTTTGTTATTTTGACATCTTTCATTAACTTCCCCAAGAGCCTTAAAACCTGGTTTTGCTGACTGGCTTGAGCCCTGATGGGGGTGCTCTTCACTGGAGGTGATTGAAGGGATAAGAGAGAAGGTCCCACCCCCATGTTATCCAGTTCCTTGGTTTTAGTTCTTATTTAAGTCTTACTAATTTTAACTTTTATATTTATCTTTTTTACCATTTTGTAAGCCTCCCAGAATGACTTTATCAGTGAGGTGGATGGCATGTAAAACAAACAAACAAACAAACAAATAAATAAGAATAATTTTTAGTTTTTCCTGAATTTTAAGCTTGCCAGACTTCCAACCTGTATACTCTCCTTCGGTTACCTGATCCTTTTTGCAACTCCTCCAAGAATTCTTTTTTGTTTTCAGTTCTGCGATATTTTTTTAGTAGCCATATTCTTTTATTTGTCTTCTATTTTTCCCCTCACCCAGTGGAATTGCTTGATTGCTATTATGCTTTTAGTATTTCTTTTTTAGGCATTCCCACCCATCTTGAACTTCTTTTCCATTAGTTTTTCCTGCCATCAAATCCTACTCATTGTTGCTCAGGGTTTCTTTTTCTAAAGTCCAAGAGACACATTTCATTTCTGTCAAAATCAAGAATTCCAACATCAGATGGTTGCTTTCCCTGTTCTTTCTGCTACTTCCACTTCCTCAAGCAAATCTTCCCTGTTGATTAGTATTAAATCAAGGATAACTGATCCTCTTTTGCCTTCCTTCACCCTCTGAAAAATACAATAACAGCAAGATAAGTTATGAATTTTCATCAATGTACAGGCAGCAAAACTCAATAATAGTATAATTTTTAAAATCGTTGTTCAATAAGTTTTGTTACTACATTTTTCATTTTTAACTTGCATAGGATTTAACTCTTGAAGTCCTCATAATCAAGCTCACCATGCTTTGGCCACTTGTAACACTACTTACTAAAACCAACCTTGTGCCAGCAGTCCATCAATGAAATAATTCAGATAGCAGCTCAGAAAACAAATTTCTCCTATTGTCACCATTTGCATAGTGAATTATTCAGCCACAGCATTCTTCTTAGCATTTTTCTGAGTTGAGTTCAAGCTGATTCAGTATGGCTTATAGATGAATAGAAGGCAACAACTTGAGAACATTGCATAAGCAAAAGGAGGCTGGGGTATTGATGTGCCATCTTGGCACAAGTAGGTAAAGTAATTACAGATGTTACAACATTTTATAAATGGTCATTGTTGAAAAGAAATGCAAACTAAACTATCTGCTCATATTAGGTGCTTATAGTGGCACAAGGGTGATGGGGGAATGTTGGTGGCTGTCCTATAAATAGCAACATTTGCAGAGTTCTTAAGACTTTTTTTCTGATGTTTTTCCCCCCCAGGATGCTTTCTACCAGGTAATTGCATCACTTTTCTATTTGAGTGCAGCAGTTTTGCAAGCCTACATTACAATAGGGCTTAAGGAGTTTCCTGCTTTGTTCAAGGAGTATCAAATAGATATAGCAGCTGTGGTGAGTATATAACCTTCAACTAGAATTGAAATGATTCATTAATTAGGCCAGTCTTCTTCAATCTGCTGCTTTCCAGATGCACTGGGAAACTGAAAGAGAATGGGTTTAATTTACAAATTAAGATGAACTGGATTTTTTTTTTAGGGTACAATTTTTTTTATTAATTTTGTAGCAATTTCTTATTTTATTATTAAAATATAAAAATGTCAGAGACAAGTACTGTTTTAAAATAACATCTTGCCAGTTTCTCATATACTTGGGTGCTGCTTTAGAGCTATTTTTTACCTTTATATGCAAATTCAACTAATGGACTAACAGATATAAGGCTATTTCTGATTGGATGACAGCTCTGCTTACAATGAAGAATTTTGTTAAAAACATGTTTTATAATGGGTGAGGCTATTTGTGCATTTATTTGTGTGTTTATCCCAGTAGTATCTGCGTACCTACAGTTTTTTTTTTCATGGATTACCTGTAGTTCTCAGGGTTGAATCTGGAATTTTCTGAAACCAGAATGTGCTGTGCCTCTGGATTATGGTTCTCCTCAAATGATAGGCATATATAGTTATAAAAGAAATTGACATTATGGACATTAGTGATTTAAGAACTGCTCATTCTTTGGCAAATATATAACACCCTTTGGCATGGTTTGGAAATAATTGGGGCTTAATTCAAGATCCCAAAGAAAACTGTCTATATCATGTATTGAGTTCATCCTTATCTCCGGGTGACTCTATAGAGAAAAAGAGTGTATAGATAGAATTTTAACTAAAATGGCTCAAACAGAGTGTGAACATAACCAGGTACTTTTAAGGTATGTGTGGGTGAATCTGTTAATTACAAGAATATAAATGGATTATTGTATAAAGTAAAAGTCAAGGATAACTTTTCCCTTCCTTCACCCTCTGAAAAATACAATAACAGTACAGTACAAGTCACTGTGGAAAACAAACAATTAAGAATTAGAGTAGAGTATATATTAAGAATTGCAATAGATTTATATAGATAAAACTAGAAACATGGATCACCAAGACTAAAAAAATTATTAAAACTGAGGTTTTGTCAACCCCTGCTAACATCATCAGAGTGTAAGCCAGGATTGGAGAACAAGTTCTTATAGTCTCTGTGAAGCCAGTAGTTTAGCTAATGAGTGTGTTATGGGTCTGTTCGGTCCCCACCCTCTTGTAATCATTTCTGTTGGGTTCGCTGATGTCTGTTTGAGTTTTGGCGCTCTGCCTCTCTTCACTCACCCCGCCCGCTGGGAGCGTTTGTCCTGCCGCATGCAATCATCTCGCTGCTCATCTGACATTTATGTCTGCGCTGCAGTCGTCTCGGCCAGTCGTTCCTTTCTAGTGCTAGCATCGCTATCCACATTGGTCAACTGTCCTCTCCTGCTGTCCATGGGTCCAGTCTGCCTCCTCATTATCTCTTGCTGTGATGATGTATCCATTAATGAGAGGTTGTGATCCTCTATTCCAGTGGTGGCGAAGCTATGGCACGGATGCCAGAGGCGGCACTCAGAGCCCTCTCCGTGGGCACCTGCGCCATCAGCTGGGTTTTATAAAACCTTTTTGCTTTAGGCATCCACCGCCATGTAAAAAAATAAAAAGGTTCAATCAGTCAATTTCAACTTCTCGCGTGAAAAAAAAAGATCTTGCAAAGTTGGAATTGATTTAGTTGGAACCTTTTAGTTCCACCCAGTCTGCCGTTACCACCGCAGCCACGCCCACCCAATGGGCCACACCCACCCGGCACCTGACGATGCATAAGTGGGTTTTGGGTTGCAGTTTGGGCACTCGGTCTCTAAAAGGTTCGCCATCACTGCTCTATTCGCTTGTTCGTGCGGGGGAGAGGTGGTTGTTAGTTCATCCTCATTGGCCAATGAGGCATGCGGCAGAATGAATGCTCCCAGCGGGCGGGGCGAGTGGAGAGAGGCAGAGCGCCAAAACTCAAACAGACGTTTTAAATATGAATATACCCGAGACGCACATTTTCAGGACTATTTTATTATATCTTTATTGCTGTGCATTGCCTTTGTCTCAGCTCCTTACTGATGCTGATTAACTCATGTTACTTTTAGGAACCACAACTTTGGCCTTGATAACAAATTCTACTTACATAGGGATTGTGGCACCTCTAACATATTCATTCAATTGAACATGTTTAAGAGAGTCCACTCTTGTATAACCTGAAATTCCTCATCTAAATTATACCAGTGAGAATCCCAATTGATACAGATTCTAAAGTTTCTTGATAAGATACTCAGCCGAGTATCACATTTATTTCACTAGTATAGTATAAACATTTGCCCTGTGGCAAATCTCATAAAATCCCCAAAGTGTGGCCAGCTAAAACTAAACAAAGTTCTATTCATTTCAGTGAGATAGTCATATCTACTTAATTCTGCTTTTCAGGTTATTGGATGCTGCAATAGATTTAGGGACTCGCCAGCCCTATGTCAGGCATAAGACCCCTGGTGATGATATAACTTTGTGACCAGTGGTTTGCTATTGCAATACAGCCTATTATGTTATGAATTAATTATTAAAGTTAGACTTTCTCTAAGATCTCAAGGCAGTTTATCCTCTGGGTCTCCTTTAATTTTATTCTTACAAAAGCAAGTCTGTGAGTAGAAGATCAGCCGGAAAGACAAGCACTGATTAGCTTCTGATTCTCTGTGAACTCCCAAACACACCAATGTGTCCATGAGCCTAGCACAGGGGTAGGCAACCTTGGCTCTTTTATGACTTGTGGACTTCAACTCCCAGAATTCCTGAGCCAGCATGGCTGGCTCAGGAATTCTGGGAGTTGAAGTCCACGAGTCATAAAAGAGCCAAGGTTGCCTAACCCTGGCCTAGCATATGGCTGTGAAAGGTATTCAAATAGTCTGGATAAATTTGGGGAACATTTTAACCTGGAATCAGAGATATTGGGAGATGGAGAGTCTGGTAGTGTAGAAGTGCTCTTAAACTTTAAATGTTAATAATATTTAGTATTACAATCTTAGAGTACATCTGCAAAGCAACATGGATAGAGTGGATATATGTACAACTTACACAGACATTAGAAGAGCAAGCCCTCATAGCTAGAAGCACTTGTTAATACTTTGCAATGGTAATACCATCCAATTGCGGTGGATCGGCTGATAGTTATGCGTATAAAATGTGTGTGTGTATAAAATCAGCATACAATTAATCTGCCTATGATCCCAAAAGCCGATTGTACTAAAGTAAAAAGAGAGGAGGGGCTAAACAGAAAATGTTTTTATGCTGGGTCAGAAGATTAATAGCAAAGGCAAGAAAAAATGATGCACTGTAAGGCTGCTGTTCTGCAAAAAGGTTAGGAAAAGCCAGGAGAAAATTAGGAAATGACTGCCAGAGCACATAACTGTGACTGCCAAGCTAAATGCTCTTCTCTTCTCTTCTAGGTTTTTGCATATGCAGTCACACTGACTTATGTTATCCATATGGTGTTCTCCCTGCTGAGATGGAAATCTTCTTAAACCCCATGTTCTATGGATTTTACAGACATATGTGTGTGTGTTTTTTTTTTGTAAAGAACTTTCTTTAGAAATCTTATATAAAAATAATGTACTTTATTACGTGTTAACGGTAAATTTCTTTATTAATATTTACTCCTAATCGACCCCCCGGATTCCAAGTCTTTGTTAGAAGAGAGCGAAGGAAACTCAGTATATCTACCTTAAAATATATTTGTATTTACAATGCCTTTTATGTAAATGGACAATAAATGGTAATTTACAGTTATGTAAATTGTACAATAAAAAGCTTCAAGTTCAACTTTTAGATGGAGGTGGGTTTTTTTTAACTTTCTTCAGTGAAGTAATCTACCAACATGAATAATGATGTGGCTAAGTTTGTTGACATCATTAAATTAGATTGATGATGTTATCTAGTTGGGTAATGAAACATTTGCGAGCAAACCACCAATCTCAGAGAGAACCAAGAATTCCACATTCGACCCTGAGCTATAAATGCTCTCTTCTTCTGGAATACTACATTACTTTGAGTGATTAAAATGATTTCAAATGCTTCAAAAAGGATTGGGGAAGGTAGCGATGCATGTCTGTGTAAGGAAAGATCATTATTCTAAGCAAAGCATATATTAAGTAGTAAGTATCCAATTTTTAAAAATTGTAACTTCACTTGGTGGTCGGAACTGATAATGACTGGTCTAAAAAAGGATGTAACAGTTATGATGGAATACTTGATAGAAATTATCTACACCAACTAATTCTATGTTAGGGATTGTTATATGTAAAAACAAAAACAAAGCTGCCAGTGAAAGAAAGGAAAAATACAGGATTTTTGTGGGTGTGTTTGTCATTAGAATTTAGGATGAAATATTCCAGGGTAGGCTGAACACAGGGAGATTTAGGGCAGAGAAAAAGAGGTACAAAAGTGCAAAAGAGGGAGGGAGAAACTCGAACAGGTGATGACCAGCCCTGGAGCCTGTTCAGCCAGATTGTTCCCTCATGGTTCCATCCACAGGGAAATTATTAGCAATGACTTTTGGGGAAAATCTTAGAAATTGTTCTTGAAAAAAAACACATCACAAAACAATTCTCTTTTTTAAAAAAAACTCCTGATTATAACTCGCCTTAGTGTTTGGTGAAAGTTGTTAAGGACAAAATCAGTGAATCAGTTGTTCAGCGAGAACATAGAAAAAGTTTCCACCAACCGTAGAATATATATTCCATCACACAACTATAAAGGCTCAGAATAGGAGCAGGTTACCTAGGGAAATACTCCTTCATTTTGAATTGAAATGTCCAGCACTAGATGAATTGCAGGGTAGGCGTTTTGACTAAGCATCAACATTATCTTGGAGAAGTCCTGGAGACTGAATAAATTGCCCAGTGACTACAGGAATACAAATGTCCCTATTTTCAACCAAGAGGAAACAGAATGAGAATGTTAAGTCTGACATTGGTACTGGGATTCTAGAGAAATTCATAAAGCAGTTGCTTTGTGAGCATCTTGAAAACAATGTCATGATCATTAGAAATCAGCATGGGTTAATCAAGAATGCCTTATCAAACTAACCTATTTCATTTTTGATGGAGTAATTTGATTCGTCATTGTAATAGTGAGAGGGGATATATTAAAGAATTTGACAAGTACTCCATGACATTCTGATTACTATTGCATTTGAGTCAGGCCTAGATAGTGTAACATTTCAATGATATTGATATTTGGTTCAATAATCATTTAAAGTTGCCCAACATACCAGAAGGGGAAAACTTCTTAAGATGTGTCAGGTTCCCCATTCAACATTGATAGATTATTTATTAATGACTTGGATGAGCAAATAACATAACATTGGATGGGATAGATAAATACGGTAGTTAGAAAACTCATAGACAGATGCAAAGCTTTTCACTTTAGGAAGCAGAAATCACATGTTTGGTTAATGGTGGTTGTGAAAAAAACTTGAAATGATAATTGAAGATCAGTTATCAATATGATATTGATATTAACGAAGAGAAGGACGAGGGGGGACATGATAGCAGTGTTCCAATATCTCAGGGGCTGCCACAAAGAAGAGGGAGTCAAGCTATTTTCCAAAGCGCCTGAAGGCAGGACAAGGAGCAACGGGTGGAAGCTAACCAAAGAGAGAAGCAACCTAGAACTAAGGAGAAACTTCCTGACAGTGAGAACAATTAACCAGTGGAACAACCTGCCTCCAGAAGCGGTGAATGTGCCAACACTGGAAGTTTTTAAGAAGAAACTGGACAGCCATTTGTCCAAAATGGTATAGGGTTTCCTGCCTGAGCAGGGGGTTGGACTAGATGACCTCCAAGGTCCCTTCCAACTTTATCATCATCATCATCATCATCATCATCATCATCATCATCATCATCATCATCATCATCATCATCATTATTATTATTATTATTATTATTATTATTTGGCCACAACAAACTAGAGTGCAATTTTAGGCTATGCATAGTACAATTTTTAAGTCTTCTTTAGTTTATTTATTTACAACAAATCTATCAGGTCAATAAACAGACACTTTCAAACAGAAATCTCTCCCAGTCTGAACAATAATAACACCACAGCCAATAGTACTTGAATGCCAATGACAGGCTCAGTAGGAAAGAGATCCTAACTGAGAATATACATCAGAGTGGTCAGTGCTGTTTCCCTCATATACTAGGGCCTGAATTCTGAACAAAAGGGACCCAAAATATTATTTCCTTTAAAAATCTGTGTGGTTGATTCTCTGGTTTACTCTGGTTTACTCTGTGATTATGGTCTCCAGTTCTAGGCAGCACTCTTTAATTCAGACACACTGGAACACATTCAGAAAAATGCAAGCAGTTGATCAGGGGACTAGAAATTAAATCTTCAGATGAAAGATTGAGGGATCTGTTTGTTATTAAGAAGGGAAATTGAAGGAACATGACTCTGCAAGTATCTGAAGAGAGCCACAGTGAAAAAAGCCAAGAATCTTCTCTACCAATTCAGCACATGGAATGATAAGTTTAAATTACAGGAAGGCAGATTATATTTGAATATTAGGAAAAACTTCCAAACAGAGTAATTTTACCATGAAACTAGTTATCAGGAGGATGGTCTCTGCCACAATGGATGCATTCTTGTAAACATCCAGAAGATTTTAATCTGATTCTTGCACTTAGCAAGGGACCCCTCCAGACTGATGTTATGATTTTACATTTTGAGGACTATGTTTGGCAGCCCATACTTTGTCACATTGTTCCTGATGTGGAAAGGACTGCTCCGTGGAATTTATTAGCTGAGTGGTATATTTTACCTGTCATGAATATTTTAACTTTTAATGAGCCTGGAAAATTGGGTCTTTTATATGATAGCCTCTTTGTTAGGAAATGACTATAGATGCATCTTTGCAAAGATATTGTTGAGAAATTGGTGAGGCAAAGGATATTGCAGTATCTGCAGTTGAGGCAAGTGCATATCCCACATATACTTATTTTCCTAGATCAGTGTTTCTCAACTTTGGCAACTTGAAGATGTGTGGACTTCAACAAAAGTTGACGTTCACACATCTTCAGGTTGCCAAATTGAGAAATATGGTTCTAAATTGTTCAATAAAAGTAATAATAATATATTAATAATAATAAAGTTGGAAGGGACCTTGGAGGTCATCGAGTCCAACCCCCTGCTCAGGCAGGAAACCTTACACCATTTTGGATAAATGGCTGTCCAGTCTCTTCTTAAAAACTTCCAGTGTTGGAGCATTCACCGTTTCTGGAGGCAGGTTGTTCCATTGGTTAATTGTTCTAACTGTCAGGAAGTTTCTCCTTAGTTCTAGGTTGCTTCTCTCCTTGATTAGTTTCCATCCATTGCTTCTTGTCCTGCATCCAGGCGCTTTGGAAAATAGCTTGACTCCCTCTTCTTTGTGGCAGCCCCTGAGATATTGGAACACTGCTATCATGTCCCCCCTCGTCCTTCTCTTCATTAAACTAGACATACCCAATTCCACCAACCGTTCCTTATATGTTTTAGCCTCCAGTCCCCTAACCATCTTTGTTGGTCTTCTCTGTACTCTTTCTAGAGTCTCAGCATCTTTTTTACATTGTGACCAAAACTGGATGCAGTATTCCAAGTATGGCCTTACCAAGGGATTGTAAAGTGGTATTAATACTTCACGTGATCTTGATTCTATCCCTCTGTTAATGCAGCCCAGCACTGTGTTGGCTTTTTTGGCAGCTGCAGCACACTGTTCTTCCTGTGAATCATGACACACAAAGCAGCACTGGTGAGAGAAAATACCTCATTTAGGCTCAGGGCCTCAGGACCTGCTCTGCGCAGGTACTTCTTCAGAGGTAAAGGGGCAGAGGCAGGTTATTAAATAATGAAGAATGATTCCGTGGTAAGGTGTGTCTAGGGTTGGCAAATATCTTTAAGAACTGGTTTATACCAGTAACATGCAGTTCCTTTGACATACTGTTTTAATAAGCCACCATTTGTTATAAAAAAGGGAAAAGGTGGAGAAGAGAATATGATTAAAGCAGGGAAATGCCTTGAATGCAGTTGCAGTTTAATGATCAACCAATATAGAATTTTGTTTTATTCAAGCTTTTTTTCTGTAACTGTTTTTACTGTGATGATTGAAAAATGTGTAGATGATGAAGTAAATTTTTTCTCTGTTGCTCTGCAAATAGGTGTAAACCAATATTTTCATGAAGCAGGAACTAGAGCATATCTGGCATGAATTTCCTATAATATAAGCTTTTTGAAGTGGCAGGTTCTCTATGATTATTTTTAAGAACAGTTTTGTGGATGATTTTCTATAGTGGATACTGTGGCAACACCACTTTTGTATTATTAAGTAATTGGACTGGATGATGTTTCAAGTCTGAGGTCAACATGTACCCAGAGAAGAAAAATAGCATTAGTATAATAATAAAGGGAGTCAAAGCCAACAATAAAATACAAGAGATTCATTTCCAAGTTAAGCTATAGTTTAGATCAGACATGTCAAACTCACGATGTCACGTGACTTTGCACAAAGTATTGGGACGGTTTTGCCATTGCCGGCAATGGAGTGGGTGCAGCTTCCAGATGACGCATCCGGCCCACGGGCCATCAGTTTGACACCCCTGGTTTAGATTGACATAATGTTAACTAAAAGAGCTGGGTTTGTATTCAAAACCAAGCCATAAAAATTAATCAAAGTTAAAATTAACCAAGTTTAACGTATTACCCAAATGCAGCCATGAGGCCTCATAGTCATGGTTAAACCTGTGTGTGAACCTAGCTGCTGAAATTACAACCATTAAGTAGTAGAGTAGGCT